AATTCGCCTAGTATATTTGAAAATGTTGTATGATAACTGTTTTAGTTTATTTTCATCAGATTTACAGTTACAATTGCATTCTAGGTGTATTAGAAGATATTCAGTTGCATTAAAAGCTAACTCAGGAGTGGAACTCTGTACAAGCCTAGTCTGGCTTCGTTCCCTCCTTGCATTGTTCTGGACTTGTACCAAACGTGCTAAACAAATAAACTAAAACTAAAACTAAACTAAACTTATTGCATCAAAATATAGCTTTTTTTACCAGACGAGGCTAAAAATTTCAGATTTTTTCTTTATTGCATCTCCATGAAGTCTGTAAAAGTAAAATAAATATATTAATACACAATGGATTCATATTCCTTAGCTTCTGACTTTTCAAAGGAGACCAGAATTATGCATCTAGGCCAAATGGTTGAGGAGTTATTCCTGATTCATTTTGGGTATGTCATTTTAGGTGTTTTTTCTGGAAAAAGGGGTCTGTTTTCATCAGGTTAACTTTCTATGCTGTTATATGAAAGGCAACACAAGTATCTATACTTAACAGTCACAATAAAAATGCTGAAATGATCTGTAAAGACTTGACCAGTATGTTGACCAGTGTAACACTTGAGGCCTTTTGGTAATTTGATCATCACTACTCAGTAAACAAGATAAGTCACCCAGTGCTTTCATCATGGTCTAAACTGCCAAGAGCAGATGTTGACATTTTGTACTGTGGTTATAGGCAATAATGTCATCTTCCTGCCTTTTCTTTACACTTTCAGGGAGTCAGGCAATACCAATCAATCACAGAAAAGAAACACAATCCATCTAAGAAAATAACTGCTTGATTCCGTTTCACACCCTTAACTAATCCACCCGGGGCAGAAAACTTTAACCTTTGTGCCCCTGCCTCTTCATCTTGTGCCAGTGAATCCTGACGGTACCTCATCCATCAGCAACAAGGAGCCGAGAAGCTCGCACGAAACCAGATACTTATTGCAATCTAATCTCTTGTCTACTCTAAGCACTACATGTGCTTGCATACATGTACATATAAAACATACAGCCACAAACATACTCACAGGGACACACACATTAATGTGCCACTAAACACAAACCCTCAATGATATGCCTGAGCTCACAAATCTTTGATACACATGTAAGGCATTACAGCTTCTCTGCCTTCTTAAGTTCTTACCAAAGAGTGGTGCCAATTTTTCTCCAGTAGAGCAAAACTCAAGTCAGTCTTATTTATATAGATCACTATAAATCCCTCCTCACAAATTTGCCTCGAAGGGCATTACCATATGTACAGCATACTACACCATCTACTGTATCCTTACAAAGTATATTAAATGCATTAAATGTGAAAAAGATGCTATACTTTGTGTATAGCTTTGTGTACAGGTGTGGGGCTTGTCACACAATGCACATTTCATTTCGGCTTAAATATACAAAAACTAAACAGACAGATAAAACTAAATTGCACTGACATTTATTTGATTTAATCTAAACTAAACCAGCCTCGTGGAATTCACAAAAACACGAGCCTACCATGTGTTGTGGAAGCAAATGTTGCTTTTTATAGCAACTTAGACCCTTGCACTTTGAATCTGAGGGAAAGCTGAATGAAACACTTGCAGGTAACCAAATAAGGCTCCTGTCTAAGCATTTGGTGTTCAGTACCTCCCTCAAGGGCTCCCAAAGTAAGCAAAAGTGCGCGGTGCTGTCACTGCGGGAGATTGGCCCATCCACCTTCCAAATTTCAGTCAACCTCGAGGCCATGCAAGGGCTGGCAATATGGTCAGATGTTGACAGGTCAGTCAGTCACCCACATAAGCAACTTCTGTGTTTCCGGTGTTGTACTCTGACTTAATATGTCATGCATGAAAATGTCATTTTTTCAGCAACTGAGTTTTTATTGATGCCTCTGTCTTTTTTTTTACATTAAGCTTCGTGGACAAAAAGAAATTGGAAATGCACAGCTTTTACATCACATAAATGATGTGACGCAAACTGAGGCTAAAGAATTTCACCTTACCAAGAGCCTCCCTAGGCAGAATCCAAACCACTCTTGCTTGGTTTCAAAATGTACAGTCTGCTTACTAAAGCATGGGGTTGCAACTCAGCACTGCTTCCCCTAATGTAGCCTCAGAAAAATGAGCCGTTTTGTTGTGTAGTCTGTTGTGCGCACACACACGCTTTATTTTAGCTGGATTTTTTCATTGTTACATCCAAGCTGCAAGGCGAAGGACGACAGCTTGTTGGTTTTGGGGCAAACGAGGGTCAGCAGAAAGAACCATGTTGCATTGTTTCCCGTCGCCCTGAATGAGGAGGGATTCAGTTTCTCGCAGAGGGCATCTCACTGCGTACATGGAGCAATGGCCCAGTTTGCGACAGGATCAGGGCATTACTCTTAATCCACCAGATAGATGTCATATGCACGCACGCGCACACAAGAGAAACAAAAATGGTGGCGCGAGAGAGAGAGAGGCGGAGAGAAAGAAGGAGTAAAAGAGGGAGAAAAAAACACGCAGTCAAGCACCAAAGCTCAGTGCACTGCTTGTATTGTTACACCAGCGCTTGTGAGCAGAATGCACATATGGTGTAGTGTCATGCAAGGTTTCCAACTATGCACATGGCATATTGTTCCATCTGATTGCATCTTAAAAGCCTCAGTCCACTAGTGAATATATGGGTGTAACTTGTGTAGCAAGCATGTGTGTTGACGGTGTTTCTAAAGTTTAATGAAAAAGGAAGCCAAAATCGAGACATAGAGGAGTAGCCTCTATGCTGTAAAACCCTATCATGCTTAAAATGTATTCCATTCATTTGGAACGAGGTTTGAGTGAAGATAAGAACTGAAGGCAATATTTCCGAGTGTGTTTAACATTTCAAAACATGTAGACAGGAGACGAGCAGCAAAGATGTCAGCGTCCCAGCAGCCTCTGTATGAATTCTCAACATTCAAATCTCTGAGTCCCCACTGTTGATATTAAAAGAGGCATTCTATGTCATACACAATGAGATAAAAAGGGAAAAGAACAGCCTTTCCTCCCTTTCCCCCCCCACAAGCCCTCTGTCCCTCCTTTCTCAACAGATTATATGGATGTGCTGAGAAAAGGCAGAGAGCGAGCAGGAAATGAGCCATGGAGAAAGTCGCAGTGAATGAGACGAGGGCAGGAGAAAAAGAACAATTCAGACAGAGGAGACAAAGTATGAATCCTTTTCACCCTTGCTGTGTCTGTGCTGCTCCCCTAACCAACATAGAGGAAGTCTGGGAGCATCATCGTTTTGATGGATGACTGGGCCTTTACTGGCTGACCGTGGGACTTACACAAGGGACAAGAGGGCAGTAGGCTGAAAGGAAAACAAGAGTGGTTTGTGGATGTGTATGCTTTTACTGGGCTCTTTGTGACTGTGTACTTTTAAAAGATTGCAGGATGGCTGCCTCAAGCCTATACTTGTATGCTCATATGCTTGTGTGTGTGTGTGTGTGTTAGAGGGAGGCGATGATACATGTTCAGCATCGAGCAACCGCAAGCTTGGATTTTTCTCCCAACAAACAGACTGTGCTGGTTTACAAATGCTCTTTTTCACAATTTTTACCATAACATGTAATGTATATTTATAATTAGGGGTGTGATGAGCCACTTTTAAATCATTTGTGCGGCAGCATTTTGGGTAACCGGTGGAAACAATAAACAGCGACAGAGAGAACAATATGTAAGGAACGTTTCAAAATGTACTTGCACTATTTTGCATTCTGTGACTTTCAGTTGAACAAAAGACTACTTTTCCAGTCACATATTTAGTCATTAAAGATTTCTTAAGGGTAGTGTCAAAATACCGTCTCGTCTCGTTCTCCATCCATCGTCAACCGCTTATCCTGCGCACAGGGTCATGGGGGGGCTGGAGCCTATCCCAGCTGACATTGGGCGAAAGGCGGGGTACACCCTGGACAGGTCGCCATCGCAGGGCCACACATAGACAAACCACTCACACCGAAGGACAATTTTAGAGACACCAATTAACCTAGCCTGCATGTCTTTGGATGGTGGAAGGAAGCCAGAGCACCTGGAGAGAACCCACGCAGACATGGGGAGAACATGCAAACTCCACACAGAAAGGTCAGGGAAACCGGGGTTTGAACCCACGACTTTCTTGCTGTGAGGCACTGCACCACCGCGCTGCCTCATCTCATGCTCATGAACGCAATATCGTGTATCGTCTCTTTTTTTATATGGACACATGGCAGTTTCCAGTCTCTAAGGTCCAGTTTTCTTAGCCTTATATTATAGTAAACTGAACATCTTTGGGTTTTGGACAAAAGAAGTAATTTGAAGATGTCACCTCAGCCTGTGGCGTTGGTGATGGACTTTGTTAAAAAAATGTTCTGACATTTTATAGACCAAGCGATTAATCAAGAACATAATTGACAGATGAATCAATAATGAAAATAATCAGTAGTTGCAGCCGTAATTAAAGCCAGGACACGACTCATAACCAGAATACTAATATGCATGTGAACTTACTCAGCAATCAGGGATCTCGCACGCACACACACACCAACACACACACACACACACACACACACACACACACACAAATGGTATGACCACAATCACACAAGCAGTGAGGAAATTATCTGATTTGCCATATGTGGTCTGTCTATCCATGCCAAGTACTCCTGGGATGGACAAAAACAGCTGGCCTCGTATCAAACCTGCTGCCCAACACACACTCCTACACTCTCACACACAGACAGACAGACACACACACACACACACACACACACACACACACACACTCATACAGCAGTAATGTGATGTCAGGACTAGAGTGGTTTATAAGAGAAAATCAGGTCAATCCAACAGCTTGTGTATATACGTAAAAACGATATGTGTAGAAGATATGTACGGTATATTTGGATGTCTACAGTACTTAAATATATTTCTCTTAATGCATCTGTGAGAAGGTGTGTGTGTGTGTCTAAGTGTGAGTGCGGAAGGACTCACAGTCGGCATCAGCGAGGAAGAGGAAGCTGAGGAGGAGCAGGCCCGGACTGGCAGAATGCATCATGGGATACGTCGACACATGCATGCTGTATCCACCGTGAGCTCACTGCCTCACTGTACAACAGGACGATAGAAACAGGCCCTCACAACCTGGAGAGAGAAACAGAGAGCGAAAGGGGAGAAGGTAAAAAGAAGATGCGGTCATTAGACTCATTCCAAAGTCCAAATTAAGAGAGTTTCAGATATTATAGAAGACCAACACACACCAACAGACACACACAGACTTGAAGTGTGTGAGTTCCCTCTAGGCCTTATACTCCAGTTATGCAGCTGCCTCTCCTCTTCTCGCTTCATTAGGACCATACACTCATCGCCGGAGGTGTGTTTTGGTGTGTGTGTCTGTGTGTGCATGTGAGAGAGTGCACAAAGTAGCTGACGAATTTCAACTTATGGTGAACATTTAGTATTAAAACATCAGTGGGCTTCTAAAGTTCATGTTTTTTAATCTCCCGAGTAAGCAACGGCCTCAATTTTTCTGCTTTAGTTTTTTTTTTTTCCCCATTATACAATCTACAAAGCATAGCACACTTCAATATCGGATTTTCTTCCGAATGTACTGTACGTCAAAAACAGCATGATTTCCAATTGATGAAAAAGGAATGAATGGCTTTAAGATGGAGGGGCGGAAAGCTCGAGCCAGGGATTGATGGATGATGGGGAGATTAAACTGGGAGGAGACTGGCTGGTGTTATCTGTTGGCTATGTTGCACACGGTGTTGGGTCAACATACAGCTCAATGGCTCTATCCTGTCAACTTTAGCTCTCTTCCTTTCTTAGACTCTCTCTGTCTCTCCTTTTAGTCCATCCCTTTCCCTTTTCCTCTCCTATATTTGTCCTCACACATCTGTATAACTTTTTTGCAGTTTTTAGTTTCCTAACTATTCTAAATATTTCTTGCTTAAGTCTGTGTTTCCTTCTGCTTTGACTCCCCTTTCCTTTCCTTCTCATTCATCTTGTCTTTAACTACTTTTTTACTATTACGCTCCCTCCAGCATCTTCCTTGCTCCTTTCAGCCAGATTTTAGGCCGTTTGACTCTCTCTCTCTGTCTGTCTGTCTGTCTGTCTGTCTGTCTGTCTCTCTGCCATCTGCAGTGTCTGTTGTGAGTGTCTGGCATTGGAAGAGATAGGCGACAGTCTGTGTCAGAAATCTCACAGCTCAAATCATGTGACACAATGAGACATGGCAGATCACTGCTGCTGTCCAGAAACTGACAGTGTTGAGTGAGAGACGCTGAATGTGAGTGGAGGCAAAAAAAGAGAGACAGAGAGATGAGGTTTAGATGTGTAACATGCACTGTTGCTTGAATGAATGCGTATGGGCTAGCATATGTTGATGCCTCTGAATGTGTATGCATGTGTACATCACCACTGACTGCCTGTGCAGAATTATTTGCATATAAGCAAGCGTGTGTGTGTGCTTGCTTGTAGCTGTGCGTTCCTGTGTCGTGCCTACGTGCATGTATTTGTGGGCTTTCCAAAACTGGACAGAGTCATCAGTCGCTGCAGCAGCAGCAGCAGCAGCAGCAGTCTTAATCCCCTCCACTCCTGAACAAGCCATCTGATTAAAAAAAGACAAGGGGGGTAGGGGTAAAAGAACACTGGAACCCAGAGCTCTTAACATCCCTGCAGCCAAGGCAGCAAGCAACTAAACCCACGCTGGATTTTCCACTTGGTTTGGTCTGAAACAATTGCTTTGGTATAACCTAGATCTCTCCCTGCACATATTAAAGAGGTGGTATTATGTTTTTTGGCTTTTCCCCTCTCCTTTATTGAGTTATATCTCTTTTTTGTATAATAGGTTTGCAAAGTGAAAAAGTCCAAATTCCAGCCCAAAGGGAGTTCCCATCTCCCACAGAAAGCACTGCTCTGAACCGCTTGAAAACAGCTCATTTGTAGTCCAGCCCTTCACTTCCTGTACTTGTGACGTCACAATGAAAACGCGTCATAAAGCTTGCCAAGCGGCTAGCGGGATCAGGCACGCCCTCAAACCAAGCTAGTCTCAGTGGAGGCCCTTTGATTTTAGTTAAGCCCCTTTTCCACTGCACAGTACCAGCTCGACTTGGCTCGACTCGCCTTTGTTTGGTTTTCCATTGTAGAAATGTTGTACCTGTACCTGCTTCCAGGTACTTTTTTTCACCTCACCTCTGTTGAGGTTCCAAGCGAGCTGAGGGATACTAAAATGTAACGTGAAAACACAACAGACTGCTGATTGGTCAGAGAGAATATTCACTATTCACTGCATCATCATTAGGCGCCCCTGACATAGGCCAGCAACAGAAAGTTTTATATTTTACAGTTTTCGTATGGAATTTCATCACTAAATCCACTTCTGAGACATTTTGAGGTGAGAAATCAGCTGTGTAGATTTCAAATATTGACAGTTTTAAGAGAAGTGATGGCGGAACAAAAATGTGCTTGAATATTTTCGGAATTGAGGAGCTCCGCAAGTGGCTGCGGGAGAAGCCTGTGCCAACCCGCGGGAGGAGCGTGTGAGGCCAGCCGCCTGCTCACAGAGCCCTCTGCTCCCACCGTCACACAGACCGCTGCAGCAACAACGGCAGAGGAAAACACAGCTGAAAGGTTTTCATACCGCTTATCTGTCTTTACATTCTGAGGAATGTTGAAACGTTTTAATCGTAGACTGTATATATTTTAAAAGCTGTGTGGATCCCTGGTGTGTGTCGCATTGAACATTACGTCGCGGCAGTTGTGTGTGGCGTTGCTATGACGACAAGCTATGTTCTATCTATGGGTACTGTCTGCAATGGAAAACAGAGCAGGGCCGAGTAGAGTCGAGTCTATCGATTTGCACTATGGTAGCATTTTTCGGCAAGGCAGCACAGATCGTCAGAACACCGGCAACAGTTCAACGTTTAGTCCTAAAAGACTATGCAACTCCTGGCCTGGAAATTCACAATCACAACCTGTAAGTATGCTTTATTGGTTGTGAATTATATTTAAAATAAACACGGCAATGTAACTTCACAGACTGTTCAAGTGCAGAGTTGTTGTAAACGTTGGCTAACACAGCTAAAGTTATAACTATATTATATATAACGTTACACCCGATGTGAAAGCTACTGAGCAAACGTTCAAATTGTTTGGCCAATTTTTATGTAAAATTGAGTTGAAATATGCTGATTTTGGTTTATGGTAAGATGTGGAACAATGAAGTTGTGTGGTTGTGGACTTGTGAGTAACTTATACCATCTGCTAGGTTACGGTCGCAGTCTGAAGCGGCTTTGATTTGGATCACACTATCTTGTTTCTTACGACCCGCCCTTCTCTGCTTCTGGTTGGCTAATAGTCCTTACCTGGGAACTGCCAACTCCCAACAAAGATTTTGTACAAGTAAGATGCATCACTCTGTAGCTCAAGAGCGGAGCGTACAACACATAGGGTGAAAAGAGGAGCTGCAGCAATGTGCAGTATGAAAAAAATATGTTTTTTTGAAAATTAAACCATGTAAACCTGTTCTGGTACAACCCCTAATTAAGATTTTGAACCTAAAAATGAGCATAATACCACCTCTTTAGGTCCTCTGCACTGTGATTTACACTACTACAGTAGATATGGGAACTCTATATTAAATATTAAATCTCACTTCCATTTATATTTTATTTTTCAAGGGGCCATTAACATCTTTTACTTTCGATTTTCTTAGTTTTATTTTGTTGTCTTTTTGCTGTTGCTCAGAGAAGGGTTGATTTGAGTTTAATTATGTTTTACAAGTTATTCTTTGTTTGTTTACTAACTAGACTAACTAAGCTGTTTTTGTCCTCAGAAAAAAACACACTAACACTATCACAACTCCTAGATACTCTACGGTATATTTTACAACTTAAATATTAATGCCATTAAAAATGTAAACTGGTATTACAATCTGTTCTCTACAGAGTATTCATGTGCATATTTGTCAAATTAAGTCACGTTTTTACATTTCACGTTAAAAGCTAGATCACTGATAAAAAAGGGCATCTGTCTTGGTGTGTGTCGGTGTGTGTGTGGCCACTAATCACTCTGGCTGATTCAATGTCACTGGAAAAGCCTGCATTATTTAGTGTCTCACTTCACAGTAAGTCATGTTAATTAAAGAGCTAAGATAACAGGGAGAGAGGGCAAGGGTAGGACATGGAAGAAAAGTGAGAGAAAGATGAGAAAAGGTGTGTGGAGGGAGAAGAAATGAAAGTAGAGTGATAAACAGAGATACGAAACAGAGAAGAAAAGAGACTCGGGATGAGAGAAAACAAAAAGATGATAACCTGAGCCACACACACACACACACACACACACACACACACACACACACACACACACACACACACACAAGCACAACCAGGTAGTCACCAGATCGTAATCTGGATGGCTGTTGTTGGTAGTATTACCGAGGGCCTAACGGAAAGCCTCCCTCGGTGCCTGAGCTTCTGCTGCTGCTGTGGATCACAGGCGGCCCTAAGCCATTCACTTACATTAGTCCCTATCACTCAATTATACACTGTCTGCCTGGCCGGGCCTGCAGCGATCAGTCACACTTATCTCTGGGATAGCTTCTGACAGAACAAAGACTGACTCAAAGAGTGAACGACAAGCTTATGTTTTTTTCACAGGACAGACAGAAGGACGTATGGGGAGGGGGAAGAAGACGAGGTGAAAGGGGAGACAACAGGGGAGGAGGAGAAAATGAGAGAGACAGAAAAGTTGGAACATAAGACTTTACCCCCCCTTGTTATATGTTATATAAACATATAACAAGATGTAGTTTTTAAGCAAATATAAGAACATTTTAAAGTGTATGTATATATAATATTATAATATTATATTGGACTATAATTTTATATTATTACACCTGTGTTATATTGTCATCCATAGTCTGTTCATACCAGCATCCAGTCATAGATGCTTCACAGGAGGAGTTAAAGTTATTGACAACTACACTTATTAAGACTTAAAAATAATTTAAATCTGCTATAACTACATTATCTTGTGTTATAAACCATTGATTAAATGGTGATAGTGTTTATAAAGTCTAAATACAGTGATGGTGGTGATGCTAACTTAATAACATTAATAACATGTCCCTCTTAATGGGA